GGGGGGGGGGGGGGGGGGGAGAGTGTCATGGTGACGGACCAACATACAGTTGCGCCATGAAGAGTGCCACTTCCTGCTTGTTGTTTCGAGGTGTTAATTTGTAGCAGCTCTTTATATCTCAGGAGGTAGTGCTCTTTGGTGTTTTTCTGAAGATCCTGCATTCCCCAGGTGTTGATCTGCGTGATGGACGGTGAGTGGAGACACCAGGCTGAATTGTTTGTGGACGCTTGCAGACGGTATGCAGAGGGAAGTGGAATCGCAAGAGGCAGAACAGGGATATGAAATGGTCGTCAAGGGTGCTTTCCGGGATTGATTCCCTGCTTCGTGGGTTATCGAGGTGCAGTTCGTTATACTCTGTTTGGTTCTTAACTGAGTGGTAGGGCCCAAAGCCAGCCGTCCGGCAAACGGGCTTTGCCTTGCTTGTATGTGAGTGTATTATGGAATCCTCCCACATGGGCGTTTCCATTGACTTTGACTGAGCTACAATCAGACATATGCAGGAAAGTCTAGATGCGAGTCAGTCGCTACTTAATCATTACGTATTTACCACGTCGGTGATACTACGGCCATTCATGGTTGGTAGTGTGGTGGGTTGTGGATAGCTGACCCCTCCTTGTTCGCTGGGTGGGAGAGGCTATAGGAGGGATAAGAACAAGATGCAGTGTGATTGTCCAAGCTCATCACGCAAGAACAACCAGTCGGTCGTTCCATGTAGGGGGAGAAAGAGGAGAAAGGAAGGGCGTCAAGGGCGTTGGCATGTGGCAGCAAGTGACGAGTGTGGAGCCTCTCCAAGGTGATCTGGGCTGAGGAATGCGCTTTGCTTTCCTAAAGCGGGGGGAAAGATAGTGGGTAGTGTTGAAGACACGGAGGCGAAGAGCAGAGTGTTCTGGAAACGACGAAGGAAGCTGTAGCAGAAAGGGAATGTTCAGTGTGTGGATCTCATCTTGGTGAGATGGACTATTTACATGGATAACTTTTCCCCGCCGATAAAAGCTCATGATGATTACCCGGGGTTCGAACTGTTGTCGTTCTGGTGGAGCTGAGTCGATATTTTTCATGGATAAGTTCCCCGTGTATAAAAGCGTGATGATTACCCAGGGTTCGAACTTTTGTTGTGCTTCTGCTGGAGCTGAGTCGGTATTGCGATTGCGTAATTCAATTTTCTCTGAAAGTTTGTTCTCAGGGGAGGAAGGAAAAGAGGTTGGGCGGCTGAATGGTGCGGGGAGCAGGAGGCGCAAAGAATCCAGCCGTTGGCTGATATATTTTATGTGAATATGATAATATTTGCATATCCGTTCATTTGTGAGAAATTGTGGGCCATGGGTGGAGCCACGGCAAGGGACGAGAGATTATAAACCATGTTTCGATAAACTGGAAAAGAACGGCTTTTCCTCTATGTGGGCTGTTGTTGCTTTATTCTTTGTTTTTTGTTTTTTGTTTTTATCAGCTGAGAAATTTTGACATTTGAAAGTTCTCTTGCCTGCTGGCAACTTAACTTTTGTGTGGCGAAGTTTTTGGGGACGTGTGTTGGCGGCCATGTTTTTTTTGTTTTGTTTTGTTTTGTTCTTCATCATTGCATACGTCTAGGTCCGCCAGGACTCGAACTCGGGTCTGTAATTCGACAGTTCAGTTCATTGGTGTACCAACTGAGCTAGGCTCATTGGTCTTTGCGGCCGTTTAGGTTTGCTCTTCTCTGTTTTCCCTCCTTTTCTCCTCTGATGGAAAACAAAGAGGGAGGGGGCTCGTAGTAATGGAGTACCTGGGGGAGGGATTAGCCCTCTCTTATGATAGAAATGTGATCAACGGCTCTTGGTGTGTACCATTCGTGGCAGGTCGTCACAGACAAGCTACTCCCTTCATTAGGGTCGACATATACTGCGTTTCGTCCTTGAAAGCGCAGGGGCCATGCTGATGCGAATCTTCTTTCTCTGTATCGGTCCAAAGTTGTGCAAACCAAACACGTTTGTTTTTCTTCCCCCTTCTTCCTCCCCCTACTCCTGGCTAATCAAATGAACGTCTTTGTACATTTCGCAAGTTTTCCTTCTGCACGTCTTCGGGATCCGTTTTGCTGGGGAATGGTTGGGTGAGACGTTGGGGGTATCGCTCCACTACGTAACGCTCGAAATGTATTCGGAGCTGGTAATGGTCCCAGTACATTTGAGATGTTCGGTCAGTCCAAATGTACATGGTCCACTTTCCAGTCTGGGGTACCTGTCGACTGTTGTTGAGTAGTGGAGCGAGGCCCATTGGGTCTATCTGTTCAAAGTCGGCAGTGGGCTGTGTTTGCAAGGGTGGAGGCCATCTCCACCACCTTTCTTTTTGTTCTCTCGACGACTCGTCCCCTAGACGCTCCGCATTTCAACCACACACACTTTTTGCCTTGTCGGGTTGGGCAAGTGGGGACCACCACGCGACGTCTGTCAGCCACACAGTTTGGGGGTTTTGAGCACTGGCAGACTGGCCATCGGCCCCCTACGTGCGAGGAATTGGGATGTTCACTGGACGCATAGGGCCTTGTAGCCCACGCGTTGCTCTGTATCCCTCTGAGTCGGACGGGATTTGAACTTACGATCTCTTCCTCAACAGTTACATGTGTGCAGTGCTCGGCCACGTGCACTGGGTGGCCAGCCGTTGCTTTGTGGGCCTCTGTGTTCGTACGAGCAACTCAGTAGCTGCTGCCTAGTGTGGCGGAATCTGAGAATCATGCAGTATATCGCATCCCCTTCTTTTTCTCTTTTTTTTTGTTCTTTCTTGTCCCATGCAGTGTTTCCTGTCCCCTTCTTCTCATGTTTATTTGTTTTGGTTTTGTGGGGAGCTACTGTCATGCTTGTTCGGTCACGACCAGGAGTTCTGTTCCCTCTGATTATGTATTTGTTTCGTTTTTTTTTTTCTTTCTTTCTTTCTTCCTGGGAGGAAGTTGGGATCGGGGCAGTGTGGCCAGGTGTTCGACCCCCTTTGACCTTTTTTTTTTTTTTTTTGTCTTTTTTTTTTCATTTTGCAGGGAGTTGTGTTATGGAAGCTCTGATTGGGGGGGGCCGCGGTGGTTACGGCCAGGCGTTGCGCCTATACAAGGTTACCCCGCTTCCAGTCTTCATTTATTGGTTTATTAACTTTATTTACTGCATGCGGAACTGAAATACCCTGTTTGCGTTTTGTAAAGATGAGACTAGCATGCACTGCTTTTTCGGTTGCTGGAAGTTGAAGGACTGTATATTGTTTTGTTGGCCTGCTTTTTCGGTTTGCCACTGTGTGCGCTGCATCTGGCTGGACCCGCTGCCGACTCCGGAGCACACTCCCTCCGTAGCTTCTGGCCTCCGCTTTCCCAACGGAGCCTCAGGTTGATGGCGCTAAAAATACATCGTTGCTGTCCCTGGAACAACGACGCCTCTGCTGTTTCTGGAATCCTGTCAGCTGCAATTTGGCTGGTGTAAAGACGGAGCAATGAAGCTCTCTGGTATCTAGATGGGGTCTCTCCTTTTCATGATGATTGTGACGCTTCAGTGAAGCATTGCAGCAATTCTTGGAGGTGGAGGACATTGTAGAAGCTCTCAAAGAGTGCTCTTGTGGCGAGTCGCTTAGTTTTGTCTTTTACGTAACGTCTCCTCCTCCTCCTCCTTCTCCTCCGCCTTCTCCCCGTCCTCCCGCCGCGCGGGGCCATCCTTGCAGCCCTAGGTACGTGTTCTCTCTTCTCGAAGTTCGATGCGGGATCGACTGGTGTGTGGGGACGGCACTAGTCTTCCAGCGTAAGGCCGTCTGTAGAGGTCATGGAACAAGCACAATTCATAAGACCATATTTTGCGCATTTTGTTGATAGGTAGCGTGGGTGAGCTTACTTACAAACCCCCCCTGCCCCCAACCCCACCAAGTTAGGATGATGGACAATGCTTATGGTCATAAACAGAGTTCAAATGTGTTTCTCTTTGTGCGTGTGGCTAGCTTACAGATCTGCACAGCAGCTGTACACGTGTTTGTGAGATCTTTTCGATACACCTGACGGTTGTCGTACCTGAACTTTGCGGAGGTTCCAGCAAGGTGGCGCACTTTGCTGTTGAACGTGGTTGGTAGTGGCTAGTGGCTTTCATATTTTTGCACGCCGACCTTCTAAAACGCCACTGGACGCCCTGGTCATTGGAAACCCCTCTTCCGGTTAAAGTGCCAGTACACGGCTACCTGGGCCGCGGGCCTGACACTTTGAATTCCGGAGGCGCGAAAACGAAAAAGCGACCGCCGATCCATATTGTCAACGGCAGGCCCAACGTTTGACGTTTCGTCCTGAGTCTTCTTGTGGCGACAAGTTTTGGACTGCAAGGCTGCGGCCGTGTACTAGCGATTTAACACAGGGATGTGGGAAGGCTCAGTTTGTGTGGCTGACAAGTGCTGGTGCACCAGGCAAATTGCACGCTGTGACGGCTCCGGTTTCTCAGGGCCGAGCAAAAGTCCACATTGGGAAAACGAGGTTTGGCTGCACCGGTGGTCAGAGTTGTTAGAAGGTTCCTCAAGCTTTTGTCTGTGATGCTGTGAGGCCTCCAAACTGTTTGTCGCACTACTGACCAAAAAAATGCATACGTCTAGGTTGTTCCTCCGCACGTATTCTGAAGAAATCGAATCATTCGAAAACTGTTTGGTATAGAAGTTTTAAACCACCAGTATGCTTCCTAAAGCCGTGCCCGTCAACAAGCCACAATCTGAGGAAACGTACGGGCCACTACAGGAGCGCCCAAATTCATCCGACTAGAAACATTTCTACCATAGTTGCGGCGCACCACCACACGGCGCACCGGTGCGCCCCGCACACCAAAAACGAGGGGTGGTGGATTTGTTTTTTTTGTTTGGGTTTTCCTTCAGATGGTGGCCCCCCACCCCGGCAAAATTGACAACCGGGGTGCGCGACTCGGGAAACCGGCCACCCCCCGCCTCTGAAATGTTTTTTGGGTGAAGGGCCTGCCGAATTCGCAATTTTGATTCGGCAGGCCCTTCCCCCAAAAAACGTTTTGGAGAATGGTGGCAGCCGTTTTCTGGAGTCGCTCACTCCGTCGCCATTCGAACCTTAACGCAACGAAGGAGGGAGGGAGAGATGCTACGAGGGACGAAAACGAAGTGAGCAACGAAGGTGGGGAGCGGCGGGGGGAGGGGGACGAAGGTGGGAGAAGCGGGAGGGCGACGAAGGAGGGAGGGAGGGATACGGTGGGACACCATCGGCGGGCAGCGGCAGTGGGCAGCGGGAGACGGGCGGGCAGCAATGAGGGTGGGCGCCCACCACCTCTCTCTCTCTCTCTCACACACACACACACATACACACATGTAGTAGTGTATACTTCCATATTATAGCGGAAGATTCATTCAATTTTGCTCATCCTATCGATGGAAGTATCGTGAGGCCAGCCGCGGGGTTGGAGACTTACCTGTTGGCCGGTGCGTTGCTCATCCTATCGATGGAAATCTCTCTCTCTCTCTCTCTCTCTCTCTCTCTCTCTCTCTCTCTCTCTCTCTCGCGCGCGCGCGCGCACACACACACACACAAATGTAGCAGTGTATAATTCTATGTTCTAGCGGAAGATTCATTCAATTTTGCTCATCCCATCGATGGAAGTAACGTGAGGCCAGCCGTGAGGTTGGAAACTTACCTGTTGGCCGGTGCGTTGCTCAACCTATTGATGGAAAACACACACACTCTCTCTCTCTCTCTCTCTCTCTCTCTCTCTCTCTCTCTCTCTCTCTCTCTCTCTCACACACACACACACACACACACACACNCTCTCTCTCTCTCTCTCTCTCTCTCTCTCTCTCTCTCTCTCTCTCTCTCTCTCTCTCACACACACACACACACACACACACACACACACACGCACACACGACCAAACATACAAGTGTGGCAGTGTATATGTACATGCTCTAGCCGTAGATTCATCCGATTTTGCTCATCCTATCGATGAAAGTAGCGTGAGGCCAGCCGCGGGGTTGGAGACTTACCTGTTGGCCAGTGCGTTGCTCATCCTATCGATGGAAAACTCGACTTCTTTATATATTTTTATTTTTTTCCGGCACACTGGGCACACAGGTCACAGCGCGCGCTGTGTGCAGTGCGCACAGCACAGCGCACAGCACAGCGCAAAGCGCAAACTGCGCGCACTGCTAAACCAGCGCACTGTGCACCGGCGCGCACCGAGGGCACACGTGCGTCGCAACTATGTTTTCTACTCTATTTTTTTCCAGTCCCGATAGCTGGGCCAAGTACTGGTGGTTTTAAGTTCAGGCTGCTTATATTGATCTCAATTTCCACCCGAAACTACTCCTTTTTTTTCTCACATAAGTCCAGGTTCTTGTAGAGCCCAGTAACTTGGCCCACGGTGATTATGGGGAGCGGTCAGCCATGGCTGTCCTGAGA